AAAAGGGTATAATATTTCCTTAGTAAAAAGGGGGGTTTAAGGGGGTCTTCCCTTTATAATAAATTATTAAATATAAGTAATTTAAAAAAGGGTATAAGGTCTTCTCGGTAATTTTTTTTAAGGTTTCTTCTTTATAATAAATTATTAAATAAATTATTTCTTATATTAACTACTTTTATATTTATTTAGATTCTATTATTATTTATTTTATAATTTACTTAAATATATAAAGATTTTTATAATCGAGTAATTAGCCCGTTGGTGACAATTACAAAGAACTTGGTCCTTTGCCCTGGTATAAAAAACCTTATCGGCCGATTTAGTTTTATTATTTATAACTATTATTGCATTTATTAAAACAATATCAGCATCAACGACTTTTGCGAAAAGCTATCGAATCGGAGTTAAAACGAATATAAAACGGAAAGTAAAATAACTTACGAAAATATAAGTTAACTTGATATTACGATAGCGCTCGTATTTAATAAAAGTATCGAAAAAGAAAATGTATCAGTTCGTAGTATTATCGATAGTTCTGCTTGCGTAGCTTACGCACCGAGAATAAATCGAAAACATAATGATTAATAATAAAGTTAATAGTGTCGGTATATCCATATCGACCTTAGCTAGCTAGTAGTAGTAGTAGTAGTGGTTGGGGAAGCTCACCCGTGAACCATGGTTCACGGGCCACTTGGCATGCTTCGCTTAGCATGTTAGCAGTCAAGGGACCCTTAACTTGATAAGTAGACCTATTAGTTAGCTAGTGCACGTAATTCCTTCTAGTCCTATAGAAGGAATCAGCTCCTTTGAATCTTAAAGAGCAGACAGAATTCAGATACCTTATCAACCGAGTGTTTTGCAATTGCAAGTACTTTAACGACCGTTACGACCTTACGAATATATATTCCCAATCGCTTAGAAGCAATCCAACACTAATCAGTGTTTGAATTACTACTAAGTGATCAATCACAGAGAAGCTAGGACTCTATAGCGAGGATACCTTTTATTACGATACCTCTCTCCTTTTATAACGGAAGAGCGATTCCGTACTAAGTCGCTTCTTATACTACCGACTTTCCTCATTCTTACGGAAGAGTGATTCCGAACCAAATCACTTTTATACAACCTTCAAAGCTATAGAGCCGCGCTTGCTACACACAGCAAACCCAACCAACACGATCGATCTACGTACGAGCAAACAACTACTATGGCCGATCAAGCAATTGGACTTTCAAGTAAGGAGTCCAGCCGACAAAGAACAATAAAGTATTATACCCTTCAAGTCTTATCACTACCTACGGAACCCCCAGCTATTCAGCCAAAAGGACCATTATACCTAGGACTCCTAAGCCTCTCGAAAGGACTAAACGATAAGATGTCGAGCATCTCATTTAATCTAAACGAGCTACTATACGCAAGGCCCGATAATAAGATTACAGCCCGAGCAATAGTAAAGGACTTCTTAGATGCGAAGTGTAAAAGGCTAAGGGATTACGACTTATAGAGCTTATTCCGGCACGCTTTCTTACGCTAAGATTGGACGAGTTTTACGATAACGAAGGACAATACGGGACGAGGCCTTAAGTTTGCTACCTTTATTAGCCTCAAAGAACACTTGCTGTCCAAAGGCGTATGGTGCCCCCCAAAGCAAAAAGGCTACGCTAATAGGATAGTCAAGCTCTTGAACGACGAGCAGCAACACCAATGGACCTTCCAGGAAATAAAGGAGCAACAGGCAACACCTTTAGGCCTCGATTCAAGGTGGACCGCCGAAAACCTCACGGACGACGAGGATAATACGCCTCAACCACTTCTACCACCTTTACGAATATCCTAATTATTCAATACGAAATTTTCAACTTGCTTATAACGACTTGATTTTTATTGCATTCGATTCTTAAGATACGGTTTCTTTAAGAATCCGCTAAAACCAGATTAATAGCTCGTTGCGCTCGCCGCACAGCTCGAGAAATAGTTCTCGTTACTTTATCTCGGTCTTTCGCGGATAATAACAATATTAACAACGCCGATTATACACGGCCTTAAGACGCTGCATCGCCGTTCAACTTTACTTAGCACTTTAAGAAGAGAAAAAAGAACGCTGCTATCAATTTGCAGCTTTTTCCTTTCGTATTAAAACGAAAAGCACCGACTATTAACACGGCGACGAAAGCTATCGAGAGCTACTTCGACGACATCGATCGCGCGGCTGCTATTAAACGACGAGTCTAATAGCAATACGCTTTCGCTTCGGACTGGATTATAAACGACCAATCGAACTTTAAATCTCGATATTATGCGTAAGAGTTCTTTAAAAGTCTTTTTACGTTTATGCGTACTCATTCACACGCAACTACCGAAGCAGCTACTCTCTCCTTTCCTTCGACCTTTCTTTATAGCAGCGAGCAAACGGCTCCTTTTAAGTCTGTCTTATAAGCAGATTCCGCGAGGCCTTCGAAGACTTTGAAAAACTCAAGAGCTGCCGTTTAATCGGCAATCGCTAAGCTATCCCGATCTTCTTCCGTTATAAGAATAAAACTTGCAAAGACCCGCAAACTTACGAGCTTTTAAGCCACTCGCAAGTCTTTTAACGAACAACTTAAGACACGCTAAGACAAGCGAGTCTTAATTCAAATACTTTTCGCCGCACTCTTAGCTCGTCCCGATAGCTACGCCGCTCGCAAAGCTATTGCCGACAAACTAAACGGCGTCGACATAACCATTATCTTTCGTCTTAAAGCTATTCGCATTAATTAAGCACTTACCTCGATCAACCTTAAAGCGAAAGACCTCTTCATCACAAATAAGGTTAAAAAGGTGTACTAAGAGGTTCTTAAGGCTACGAGAGCGATTATCTCGATCAAATAATACACGTACGTTATCTAAAAGGTCTTTGCCGAAATCAAAAGCCTTTTCGACGAGATCTTTAAAACGGCGGAGCATATCGACGAAGAGATCCTGGCTTAAGCCGAAAGAGCCTCGATAAGCGTCCGCATTTCTTAGTACGAAGCCGACCCGGCGACCGGCTTGACTTGCTAGATGGTCTCTTTTTTAAAAGAGGTCCGCAGCTTTAAGTTGTTCGGCTGCAATAACTATTCTCGGCTAGTCGACAAAAAGCAACTTATTAAAAAGCACGATCTTGGCTGCTTCGGTTAGTATAACCCGGCCAAGTGCACTCGGCACGCACGCTGCTCTTATTGCGGCGAGCAAAGAGACTAGCACGACGGGCCCGACGGCAAAGACTGCACGGCACTTTTTCGCTATGTAAACTGCTACAGCCCGTACGAAGCTAATCACAAGAATTGCTTTGCGGCTCTTAAGCGAGTCAACGGCAAAGTAATCACTTTTATTAAGAAGGAGCTAAGCGCCGTCCGACGACTAAGAGCTTAAGCCTACGCTATTGCTATTGCTTTTATAACGGAAAAGAACGAACCGACCTTAGCTTTTTAATTAAAGACTTTTGCTACCGGTGTCAACGCGGCTCCTTTTCGGAAAAGACGCGCTTTTACGGTACAAGAGCACGAGCGAGCGACCTTCTTTTAAGCCGTCTCTTTATAATCTTCTTCTTAATCCTTTACGCAAGCTACAAGACTTTTGCGCAATACGGCTACGCGCAAGAACTTTAACGAAAAGACTTTGATAAATAGCGCCTTCTTTACCGTAAACGAAAGAAAGGATACGTTAATAGCGATATCGGACTATTACGTAAACAATACTATTAGCTTATCTTCTTCGTTTATAAAAAGCTCGAGCATTGCTGCTAGCTAAGATGCTTAAAACAACTTTATATATTAAGCACGCCGATATAGCACCGCGGCACTCGCTGCAATCGATAGCCTTTTAAAAAAATCTAAGTCTATTAAGCGAACGTAAGCAAAAGGCAGCTATACTATATTATTTTATTCCACTTTTATTATTCGGCAAACATTAACGTTATTTATATCTAAAAGCCGTATACGCACTCGAGCATTAAAACTTAAAACTACTTGTTTTACGAATACTATGCTCCGATAGAATCGTAAGATAATTAAGACGATGCTTAATACTTCGTTAAGCGATTACAAGTAATAACTTACGTGCGTAAAAGCGTAAGTCTTCGCACTTAATAGCGCCGTTCTATTCGTAACAAAGATCTTTTGTAAATCGATATGAACGGCTTCGCTATTTTAAACGTTTATCGGCAACTTTTAATAGACTCGATTATAAATTATATTACTTACTTCGTTTTTTTTTTTAAGTACTTGATTAAAAAAGACTTTAATATATAGCACGATATGTTCGAACTAAAGGTTGAGCCTAAAGGCCGAAAAAGAGACCTTGCGACTTGGTCTAATGCTAGTAAGATGGACTATATTAGACTTTCGAGCGATTTTATTTATAAAGCTAATCACGTTTTAAACTTGACCTTTTTAAATATCTCGTTTACTTAAACGATAATTCGCCTCGATCTTTATTCGAGCTTAGATTACGAGACTTAAGTTACGATTATCTTTAACCGAAGAGTCGTTCTTTTAAAGCGCTTTTAATACCGGATACCGGACTAAGACCTCGAGAAATTCGCTTCGCTTATAACGTTAAGCGTAAACTAACTTCTTAACTCGTAAACGATACATTCTATTAAAGAACTCGATTAGCTTGCGATCAGCTTAACTATTGCTTTTAACTTTACTTTAAAAGTTGCGAGACAGCTCGCTCGAAAAAAGCTAACGGCTATATTATAATAGACGGCAAACTGCTAAATAGCGTATAAAAAACATTTAGCAGCGCGCTCCGTAGTATACGACGGAGAACCGACTTAAGAAACGCGAGATTAACTCGCTATAATCAAGAAAGCTAAAAAGGCTTATTAGACTTACGTAATCGACGGAGTAAAATCAGACTAAGACTTATATAAAGTTATGAATTAGCATAAGCTTACTCCGAACTTAAAATCGCCCTTTTTAGTAATTAACGACGAAGCTATCGAAGATATTAAAAAAAAAGCGGACGCGCTACGAAAAAGCATCTTTAAACGGTTTAACGCCGCCGACGACTTCGATTACGATCTACTCGCTAGCTAAGAAAGCACTGGCCGGCTCTTTTAAGATACTACGGTGTTATTAGAAAAAGTAGAGTCTTACGTGATCGAAGTAATAAGCACTTTACTCGAGACGGATAAAATCATCGTACGATTGCTTAAAACATGCTAGCAATACGTTTATCTTTTTTTTTATAGCTTCTTCAACAAGTGCTTAGCTCTTTATTATTTTCCGGATGCGTAAAAGCTTATTAAGGTTTCGATGATCTTTAAAGTAAAGAAAAAAGATAAAACCTTTATCCGCTTTTAACGACCGATTGCTTTGCTTTCGTATATTTTCAAAAGATTAAAGCGCATCGTTGCGAAAAGAATTGCGTAGACTGCTTTTATTAACGACGTCTTTAGCTTATAATACGCGAAAGCCTTTTTACGGCGCTTTGTATTAAACTTCGCTTCGTGCTTAATACACGATATCGAGTCCGCACTTGCAATTAAATACTAAGTCATTATAGTCATTATAAACGTCTAAAGAGCTTTCGATGCGGTCTTAACCCGTCGCTTTTTTAAACGCATAACGGAGCAAAGCTAGCCGTACTTATTGCTTAAGCTAATAAAATCTTTTCTTTTAAACCGCAAGGTCAAGGTCCGATTAAAAAAAGAAATTACGAATATATACGACGTAAAGTGCGGCACTCCGCAAGGATCCTTGTTATCACCGGTGCTTTATATGCTCTACTTAACTAAGCTACTCAATTAAGACCGGATATTGCGCTTCGAGTACGCTAACGATATTTGCTTATATCGCGTTAATCGCACTTTCGACCGGAACATCGCTATGCTTCGAGACGATATCAATTCTATTATTAAGTAAAGTAATACTTATAAGATCGCTTTCGCTTTAAAGAAGATCGAGATAATGCACTTCTTTCGCAAGAAAAGTACGTATGCTTTTTTTTTCGTAATCGATATTATAATTATTCCGTATATCATTATAAGTCTAAAGGACGGAAATATACTTGCGATACGATAGCTTAAAGTCTAGTTTAATCGTAAGCTAAAGTTCCGCCGATACGTCCGAGAACGAGCGGTTAAAGCTAAGAAAGTCGCTTAGTATATCCGTAGTCTCGTTAAAATAATCCACGGTCTTTTTACGGCCTTATTACGCAAGGCAGTTACTACTTGCGTGCTGCCTTCGGTGCTTTACGGCACGAAGGCGTAGTACGTAAAGCGCTATCGCTTAATCTATAAGTCCGGAAGACTAGAAGTTATTAGCGCTCGGATCGGAAAGATAATTGACCTTATTAATAAGACGATAACCTTCGCAGCGCGCGGAGTACTTTCGATCTAAAAAACGATATTAACGGCAACGCTCTTTCGAGATGCCGGGCTTCTTTTTAACGCTGCGGCTTTAAAAAAAGCTAAAGTTAAGTTTGCAATAAGACTAAAGACGGTAAACGACAAGCACTTACTAGTCAGCCGGATACTTTTGCGGATCCGATAACGCAGTCGCGGCGCGAAGACTACTAAGATCTTCGAGATTAAGATTTAAAGACTAAGAACTCTTTTTTTAAACGTTCCCCGCTTTCGCTTCGTCCTTTCGTATTTTACATCGAAAAGCAAACGGGACCCGGCGGACGGCAAAACGAAA